TCTGAGTTGTTCTGCTACAGAAAGACCATCAGTAGATTCTGGTGAGGAAACTCAAGATCCAACTTAGTTTAAAATGGAATCAGCTCTAATGGTTCATCATCATGAATATAAATCTATTAGAAGATCATTTTGTCTGAGGTTTTCTACAGTAGAAACAGTGTCTTACTGTGTGTGTGAAGGTCCAGGTTCATTACTGAAGTTTAGAGGATTATCTTTGGACCGGTCACTCTTCATAGACAGACAGCTGGGGACTGGAGACTCTGCTCTGTCCTCCTCTTCCTCCACATCACTCATCTTCTGGACTTCAGTCAGTCTGAGAGGGAAACCAGTAACACTGACTGTGAGATAACACACACACGCGCGCGCGCGCACACACTATACCGTATAATAAGGTAAATACTATAAAAAACCTGGTCAGTGTTCTTGGGTTAGTTGTAGGTCCATTGTGAATATTCAACGTCGTGTCACAGACGAATCAAACGGTTGATTCTGACGGAGAGAACAGGAAGTACCACCTCATGTTATTTCCTGCTTTCCTCAGTGTCTTTGTCTGGACAAAAGTTCATTCTGACTCTTCTTCCCGCCACAGAGAGAAAACTGACTCTGACACTTTGACAGTAAAATAAGAGTAATGTTGTTTTAACGCTCCCCTGCCTCAGACTTCAGCTTCCCTCCTTCTGCTCCGTCGATTCAAAATGGAGTCTGAACTTTCAGTTTCACTTTTCCCCGCCGAGTCTTAATGGAAATCACAAGTCTGTGTGTGTGTTTGTGTGTGTGTGTGTGTGTGTGTGTGTGTGTGTGTGTTGTTCACCAGTAAGAAAAACAAAATAAGGTGCGATGTTTCACAAAAAACAAGGACATACACGTCCATCAACCTTGATTTGGAAATGCAAGACATGAGAAACATGTTAAACATCTTATTTATTTTAAAAAACTATATTTTTTTCGTCCACATGTTGGGAAGGGTCCTCGAGGACAACGGAAACACCCACAGAGCAGCAGGAACTATTGTTGAAAGACTTCCTGGGTTTTGAAGTGTTTTTTTTTTTTATTTTATATATTTTAATTATAAATACATTATTGTATGAAAAAATGATAAATGATGAGTTTTTCAAACGTATCAGGGATTTACTCTTCAGAAAAACTGATGCTCAGCTCAGTGACCCTGGTGTGATGGTAATACATAACACGAAGCAAACTGGGCAAGACCTCTTGCCTTTTACTTTGAAAAGCGGGCACCGGAAGCGTCGTCGCAGTTGTTGTAGCTTGAAGCTAACAGGTGGGGAACATGTCGGCTTGTGTCAGAGCGTTGAAAAGCCGTTTGTCGGCTCTTTATCCGGCTGGTTTCACTTCACTGCTCCGGAGGAATCATCCGGTGAGATTTCCCGCCGGAGGACAGCGGATGTCACACACACAGACAGGTACCGAGCCGGAGCTGAGGTTAGCTGGCTAATGTTAGCAGCCCCGTTAGCCCGCTACCTGCTAGCTGCTCACACGATGAAACGTGGAAAGAACTAAAACTGGCATTTCTCCATTGGTCTATCTGGCCTGTTAAGGTTCCTATAATGAGGAGGTGATGATGTCACCTCTGAAAGAGGGGGGGCTGTGGAGCTGAGGGGGGGTGGTCTGTTGTTTTTTAGCTTCAGTTTTATCTTGATTTCCACAGTATTCTCCATATAGTTCTGACAACACGTGGACAAACATTATACTATCTTTTATGTCAGAATCCCAACTATACAGTGTATTAATAAGTCAAATCTAAACATACCACAAAGGTCAATGAATCTTTACCAGAAGTGACGGTGCAACGGAGCAGATGAAGAAAAATCCACCTTCAAACTGCCAGTAATCAGCTGGATCCTTGGAGCATCTGGGGAGAAAAGAAATAACAGGACACACTAAGATTCACTGTGAAGTCCTTAAAAAGTATGATTTCATTATTTTTGTTTACCATTACTTTAACAAAGCTTAAACAAATGTCATTTATTTGTTATTTAAATGATCTGTACCGACAAAGAATGTTCTGACCTTCTGTGGCTGCTTTTCTAATGTTCCACCGGAACTAAACAATCAAACACCTGAAGCTCATCTTCACAACTCTGGCTTGTGTTAAACCAGGGGTGTCAAACTCAAATACACAGTGGGCCAAAATTTAAAAAATGGTACAAGTCGAGGGCCAGACTGGTTCAATGTTTATTGAGAACTTGCAAATGACCTTGTTGGCATGAATTGAACCTGAAATTAACAAAGCTGCCAAAGCATATAACGACATAAATCATAAAATAAATTTTAAAAAATCAGGTGTATTCACTTTTTATCTGGAGCTTTCCATAGTAATTTCTAATGAAACATTTCCCCACAGGCCAACAACAGCCAAAAAATAATTCAAAGAAAAATGAAGTGTCTGTAGCAGCAAGAAAAAAGTGCAAAAATGAAACATGCATTAAAGCTCAGTTTTGCACACTGATGCACAGTAGTCCAATACTTGAACCTGGAACTGACAAAGCTTATAAGACAGTTTGTACCTAAAAAACAACATCATTAAACATTAAATACAAGAAAAAATCAGTTGCATTTATTTTCTCTAAAGCTCTTTCTGCAGCTTTTCTGGATTAATTTTTAACTGACAACATTTTTCTACAGGCCAACAACAGGCAAAAAATAATTTCCTTGTAAGAAAAATCAAAATGTCCTGTAGCAGCAATAAAAAAGAAACATGCATTAAAAGCTCAGTTTACTGCTCTGGTGGATGCTCACTTGTCTGAGCCAGATACTCGGTGTCTTATCTTGGATGGAAGTTCATCAATGTTAGGCGTCAGGCTTTGAGCTGAGGAAATCCTTAGGATTGAGTGAAGGTGTTCATCAGTAAGAACGACTCCTGGTGTATGATGCAATGATACGCTGTCAGCTCACCTGCGCCGTTTTCCTCCCGCATCTTTCCCCGGACCAATCCACTCTTTTGACCGCACATCGCGGGCGCTCCATCTGTCGTCAATCCCACAAGTTTATCCCAAGGCAGCCCCATTTCACTAACACACCTGGATACCTCTTCAAACAGATCTTTCCCCGTAGTTGTGCCATGCATTGATATTAATCCCAAAAAGTTCTTCTGTTACACACAGACTTGAGTCCACTCTGCGGATAAAAATTGACAGCTGGGCAATATCTGAAGTGTCGTGCTCTCATCCACAGTAGGGAGTATGCGATGAACTCTTTTCCCTTTCCCACCAGCTGTTGCTGTAGATCGGTGAAAAGCTGATTTACACCGGTCAAAAATCGTGTTTCTTGCTCAGGCTCACATTTGAAAACAACTTGCCTTTTATCTGGGCACAAGACGTTGCACACTTTCATCATGCAGTTTTTGAAAAATTCTCCCTTGGTAAAGGGCCGGGCTGATTTTGCGACCTCTGCTGCCACAAATAAACTAGCCTTTACAGCAGCCTCACTTTGTGATTTGGCTTTTGTGAACATACCTTGCTGTGACATCAAAACTTCTTTTCATCTCTTCTACCTTCTGCTGCCTTTGTTTCACGTCCACGTTGTTTGTACCTGTCTTGGTGTTTTTGTTTCATAGTGTCTTCTTACGTTATATTCTTTCATTACAGCCACGCCGCGTCTCCGCACACAAGACAAACAGCTTGCTTTTTATATCTGATGAACATATACTCTGCCTCCCAACTGCCTTGGAAAACCCCTGTTTTCAAAGTCCACCTTTCGTTTAGCCATTTTTGGGGAGAGTAGTAGCTGACAGTTGACCACAGGTGCTCCTAGGGATGCTGATGAATGAGTGGGCAAGGACTCGCGCTCGCGGGCTCTCGAATGACCGCGCGAACACGCTGGCAGTGTGCATTGTGGGATTTGTAATGTATTAGCGGCGCGTGCGGGCCAGCTCTATATGTGATTAGATATTATTCATGCGGGCAAAGATAACAACTTCGTGGGCCGGACTTGGCCCGCGGGCCTTGAGTTTGACATATGTGCTCTAGATCCTGTATGTGCACTGTTGAAGAACGGACTATTTAAACATTTCTATCATGTTTTGTTGTTGATTAAAGCAACATAGAAAGACCTTTTGATTAATTACAGATTCAGGAGAAACTTCAGTGTGTTGTGATTTCTATACTGTGCTGCTGCTACTGTTCAAATTCATAACCAGACACATCTCATAAAAACCATCAACAAAGCAAAGCTTCTAAAGAAACTTTATTTACATTAAAACTGCATTAATTTCTAACAAGTTACAATCAACTGTAACTGACAAATTAAAAGTAGAATACAGTTGTGAATGAGGTGCAGTGAACTTCACTGTCACAAGACAAGTCTGCATCATAAAAGAGGTGAGTAAATCTTATTGTGTAACAAGAATAAATTATAGTAGAGATGTAAAATAATACTTCATAGCTCAGTGAGGACAGAGCAACAGTGCTGACAAGCTTGACTGTTGTGTGACATTAAACCAATGTCCCTGCTTTCCTCCCAGTGCAATGCTGGGATACATTCAGTACTGAAGTCACATAAATGTAAAACTAATAAGATTCACCCTGAAATTACAGAGAAGATCTTTAAATTGTTCGTATGGACATTATACCTTTAAAAATAACGAGCTACAATTTTAATTACAGATAATTACTGTCAATTTTACACAAGATTTGTTTGATAATTTAAGAAAAGCAGAAAAATACTGTATAAATAATACAGTAATTTTTCTTTACAAAAAATGGGAAATGACTGTAATTGATTATTATTGACATACAATGCTTCAAATAGAAGTTTGGCTGTTAATTCACAGATCACTTCTGTTATTTTACAGACTTTTGTTTATAATTGAAAAAAAACAGAAAATTACTGTTAGAAAACTTAAGTTATTTTCCGTAAAATTTGGATTTTTTTTTTTTTTTTTACAGTGCAGCACATTGTTAGATCTACTGCACTAGAATTGTTTAGAAGAAGAAGTAACCATTTAGAGCAGGAGAAGAAAGTTCTGTAACTGAAGCAGAAACTCGAACGCAAACGTTGTGTCCCAATGCAGAGGCTGTGGGCCACGAAGGTGTGGCCCTTCGTGGCCGCCGCAGACTCAAGGCCGAACCGATGGAGAGTTTCCACTGTGCAAAATCTCCCCTGGTTTTAACAGTTGCACCGTTAGCTGTTGAACTGAGCTGAAACACAATACTTACGTTTAAAAAGGGTTAGGGGCGTGGCCGGGGGCGGTGACCACTCAAGGTTCTGACCCTCTTTATGATCACACCCTTAAAATCAAACCTTTGCCAATATAACATGTGAAACCAGCAGAGAGGTGGAGATCCATTATCAGTCTGTTCAAGTCTTTCTATCTGCAGAGCGTGTGCTTCCGCCTGCGTTAGGTCAGAGTAGTGTCAACACGTCTGTGCGACTCGGCCCAGGTGGAGGGTGTAGACGGCTCGAGGCTGCGGGACGTAGATCAGCCCGGGGTGTTTCTTCCTCAGGACGGGGTCGTTCCACAGACCGGCCACCCAGACCGCCACCAGGCACAGAGCTGCAGAGAAACTGGAACCACAGAGACATTTTCACATGAAGAACGAGTCTGAATTCACAGCTGCGCTTCTTTGATCTAGTAACAATAATCCTGTCATCTGTTTACTTCTTTAACACTGTTAAAAATAACGTACATATCTTTTATTTCTCTGTTTGAGTTTTCTGTTTTCGTTCTCATCAGAATTCACC